CATAAAACTGGAAGAAGGAAGGGCTTCTCTGGAAGAGAATGTTCCATGGCTCCATGAGGTCATGACTAGAAGGCCACTCACTTGAGAAGGCCAAGGATGAAGGCATGGAAGCGACTGCGGCTGCTGCTCAGCTGGGCCAGGCGGCTGACCTGGCTATACAGTGATCCCAGGGAAGGGCTGCTGGAGCCTGAGGGACAGGGAAGGAGGTCAGCCAGGGCCCAACGCTGCTCCTGCAGGGTCCCACACCCTCGGGGCTCACCTGGCTTCACGGATGCCTCCACCACGCTCCAGGGGCTGCTCCGACGCTGTCCAGTGATAAGATCTTTCCGGAAAGGCTTCAACCCATCGGCCACCAGGGCATGGAGAGCAGGGCAGAGGGTGGTCAGCACTAAGTGCCCCACATCAGGGCTCAGTCGGCTATCCCCCAACTGGGCCTAGAGACAGGGCAACGCAAATGAATCCAGAGATACATCTTAGCCATCGCCCACTAAATATTTCCTTACCCCGGAGCTATATTAAGCTCCAAATCCCAACATCCTCCAGCCATCTCCACCTTCTGAACCAAGTTCCGGGCAGCTCCAAAGTGCGAGATGATTTTATCCACGGAAGCACTGACGGCTATCAGGAGACCTAAGAAAGGAAAGACACATCAAAGCTGCAGGTCCCTACCCTCGACCCCATAGGGTCAAAGAACGTGGAGAGCCTGGCGGGTTTATGGAGTGTGAGCCTTAAAGCCCCTAGGTAAGAGGCAGGAGTCAGGGTGGCCTGCCTACCTTTTTTCTGCTCCTGCAGCTGGCCAGTCCCACTCTGGGCTTCTGCCATCCACAGCCGCTGGGCCCCGGGAACACCAGAGAAAGACCAGGAACTACGAACTGGATCAGGGAGAGGAACGCAGTGACTGCTTACTTACCAAGGGTTACCCCCAGGACGCCCGGCTCCGCACATCTTCTGGGGGCTTCCGGCGTCCCTAAGCCACGAAGGGTCTTGGGCAGCAGAGCCGCAGGGAGCCTTGAGAGGCCCCACCTGATCCCCAGAGGGGACTTGGCCACACATCCCAGCACCCGCCGCCTTCCGCCTCGATTCCCAGTGACTTCCTCAAGGCTCAGCCCCCACCTCCTCCGAGATCCAGAAGTCCTGTGGCAGCAGAGCCCGTCCGCGCTCCACCCCGCCCCGCCAGCAGAGGCGGGAGGTGACTGGGGAGGGGACTCGGAGCAGCCCACGCTCGGACTCAGGTGCCCCCACCCCCACCAGCCCCAGGGAACACGTGGAGGGCCTCAACCAATGGAAAGACAGACAGACGGGAATGGGAGAGTCAAAGGGAGGTGAGACCCAAAGGTCAGAAAGCTGGAAAGAGGAAACCCGGGTTGGCTCACTCTCTGGCCCCGGGAGGGCGCCAGCTCCGTCCCACGTGGGGCGGGACTTCTGAGGGCGTGGCCAGAACCCACTGGGCCAATGAGCTCCAGGGAGCTTCATCCAGACAGACGCCAGTCAAGCCCGAACTACACCAGCCGAGGGCTCTCGAGTGGGCATGGAGGCCAGGTGAGCCCGGATCCACTATACCCGGGGCGAGCTTGGAAAAAGAAGTGCTGGGCCGCGGAACGGAAAGAGCAGCAACCCTCCCTACCCCTAGCCGGAGAAGCAAGGCCAGACTCCCCAGGACTAGCCAGAGTTGAAGAGGGGGACTTAGCCAGGCACCTCAGAGGGAGACAGGGGGAGAAAAAAACTAAAACGGAGGCTGAGCCAGGACGCAAGGGGCCTTGGAATGGGCGGGGCGACCCGCCTGAGGCGTGGCCTGCCGGGCTTGCCCGGGGCCGTCTTACGTAGCCTGGGCGCAGACGGTGGGCTCCTGGTCCAGCGAGTGGCCTTCGGCGGACGAGGTGGTGGTGGCAGCGGGGGGGCGGGCACCTGGCGGGGTGGGGAAGTCGCGGCGGGAAAGGTGCTACTTCTGGGAAAGAGCGGGGACAGCAGCAGTGCCAGCTCGGGGCTGGCCAGGCAGGGCAGGGCCCCCCGAGTAGGAGGCGAATAGGCTCCCACTGGGGACAGGCGGACAGGCAGCAACTGCTCCTCTTGGGGACTCGGCGCCCCCAATAGGCGCAGCCCAGTGCTGGGCCACCCGGCCAGCCGCGCCAGTAGCAGGGACCCAGCTGCGCCCGCGCCTCCACCCTCCAACAGGGGGCGCCCGTCGGCCGAGAACCGGAAAACCGGGGGCCGAGGGAGGAAGAGGGGACCCGCTGCAGGCAGGATTGGCGGAGCCAGGCGCAGAGGGGAAGGAGGGCAGCAGGACGGGCAGCCAGGCAAGGAGGAGCGGGAGAAAGAGGAGCAAAGAATTAGTCCTGTAACCCAGTGACCCGCCCAGCTTCCCTTTCCCGGAGCGCTCCCCGGTAGAGGGGTGGGGTGGATGGGTGACACAGAAAGGTGGGGAGACTGGAGGCGGGGTTGAAGCCGTCGGAGGCGTGGGCGAGGCCGAAGCCCAGCCTCCTCCTGCTCGGTGTTTCCGCCTCTTACCCTCGCCGCGGGCTTGATTGACGGCCTCCTCGGGCTCCTTGGCGGCTGGGGCCTCCTCGCCAGCCGCGGGGCTCACTGCCCTGCCCTCCTCGGGAGGCGTCTCCGCGATGGGCTGCAGCCCAAGTCGGTTCTTCTTCCTCCGGGGAGGCACGGGCGGGGGCGGGGGTCGGGGCGGGACCAAGGCCCAGCCAGCGGGAGGGTCTCGAGGCGGGACTGGCGGGGGCGGGGCCCGGCTGCGAGACCTGAGTTCCTTGAAGGTGGTGACTTCCCGGGGAGCTGCTAAGGACCCGCCCAGCGTCCCGGTTGGGGGAAGCTCGGTGTCTGGAGAGAAGACTATAAGCCAGTCGCTCCGATCTTTCTTCGCCTGTGGCACTAGGGGTAACCCCGGGCCCCGCTTGCGCTTCTGAGCCAGTTCATGGAAAGACGTGATTGTCCGGTGGGGCACCGGCTCCTCGCTGACGTCACTTCTCCATTCCCCATCGATTTTCCTTGCATCTATTTTCGGGCCAGAATCAGTTTTTCCTGTGTTGGTGTTCCAACAGGAGTCGAATTTCCCGGCTTCGATTTTCCTGCTAGAGTTAGTATTAACGTTGGTTTTCCGATCAGAGTTATTGTTCTCACAGACTTTCCACCCACCTTCTGTTTTTCCTGTGTCAATTTTCCAAATGGGGTTTATTTTCCAGCTGGGCTCTGTTTTCCCAGCGTCGATTTTCCCGTCCTCTGTCTCGAAGAGCTCGGAGGTAGGGAGATCCTGCTCCCCACTCTCTTCCTCTTCCTCCAGGCTTGGAGAAGGAAGGTCCTGGCAGGTGGTCAGGGCGTTGCAGTTCGAGTCCAAGCCAGGGCCAGGCGGAGAGGAAGCTCCGGAGCAAGAATCAGGAGAACAGCAGAAGCTGTCCGGAGAGCAAGTACCAGGGCCTGCTGAGGCCAGTGAGGAGCCCTGCTCCACAGGGACGATGCTGGGCTCAGGGTGGATGTCATCGCCAGGCAGCTCCCGAGAGTACACTGAGATGGGGGACTCATCGGGGCTAAGATCTGAACAGGAACTGAGAGAGGAGGAGCAGCCCGGGTCGGAGGGAGAAGCAGCCCCTTCTTCCTCCTGCGAAGGGTCCTGCCGGTTTTCTAGGCTTTGCCCGTGATCCTGGCAGCACCGGCAGGGCACAGCTGGACTGTTGGAGTTGGCATCCACCAGGACCCCGCTGCAGGGCCCCCTGCCCTCCTTGCCGCCGGTGTCTCCCGGGGGAGGTGGCGTGCTCAGAGGCCCCTCCCGTAGCTCTGGACGGCGGGACAAGTGCAGGCCTAGGGAGACGTGCTGGAGGTGGATGTGGTTGAGGTTGCAGAGTAAAGCTCTCTGAGGGGACAGCATAGTGCTGGCGGCGATGGAATGGCCTCCAGAGAACCAGGATTGGGCCTCTTACATCCACCTACCTGGCAACGCAGAAGCAGACCTAGAAGACACGGGTGAAACCCATCCAGTGAGGCTTTGGGCCACAGAAAGGACACCAAGGTGACTGACGGCCTGGAAAGGCTCAGGCTGCTTTGGGGGATATTTAAATGAAATGCAAATCGCCATCGACTGGCCATTAGTTTCCACTGCGGTATTTGCAGGTGGAGTCGTCTGTTACCCGCCCCCCCCCCCTTCCCGTTCGGGAACAGAGAAGGGAGGGTCAGAGAATGCGGCTGCGCTCTGAATCTCCGTAGGGGTGCGGAGCTTGGAAGAGGATGGGGTCTGGAACAGAACCCCGAATCCTTTCCGCAGCAATTTAACCCTTGCCATCCAGTCTACCACTTGCTCCCAGAGGAAGAAGCCAGAGGAAACCCCGCCCAGGTGCTGTGAAAGGAGATGAGCAAGGCGCTGGTCTGGCTGGTTCATGCAGGCAAGGGGCGGCGGAAGGAGCTTCTGTCTGGTCAGCTGCGTCCGCGGGCCGCCCCTCAAGGTCTGCAGCAGGCTCCCATCTGCCTGCGGGGTTGGCGCACCCTTACCCCACTCACCAGGGCTATCCATCCATTCTTAACGCCTCTATCCTCCAGCCACCACCCACCCCTTCTCCATTCAGTTTTAACGCTCCCCTCTCCTGCCTCATCCCGAGGTCCTGTTCCATCCATCCACACCCACAGACCGAGCCCTCCATACCAGGGTCCTGGGACCGCTCCGGCCTAGGGATGATCAGCGGTTCCCTCGGTCCCCGCCCGGCGGGGGACAGCACGGAGGGGAGGGGCACCTGAACAACCCACTCGCCTGCGCAGCCGCACCCCTTCACGCACGGGCGTGGCTTAACTCAGGCCCGCCCCCGGGGCTTGACGTCATGCTTGTATTCCCCACACACACACACCAGACCCAGCTCAGTTTCAAGTCCCAAGGGACTTCCGGCGCCAAGGCCCAGCTAGTGGTCCAGGCATCGTCCAATCACCACTCATGCATTTCCCTGGCCCCTGCCAAACCACCCCCAATCTGGACAAGGTGAGACTCCAGGCTGGAGCAAGAACAAAAATGACGAGAAGGTTGGACAATAATTTATTGAGAGCACTCCCTCCCAGCCCTTGCAGTCTCTAGGTCATTTTTTCCGCTTGTAAATCTGGTTGGCTAGCCCCAAGAAGATGGTAGATGGCAGGGGTGCAGCATACTGCTGGATGAGACTCATAAGGCGGCTGTAACTGTCTTCCTCATACTGCAAGAACACAGCTGGCAGGTCCAGCTGCTCGTAAAGTGCCTTCACCTGAGCCACCTTCTTGGCGTCCTTCTGCCCGTAATTTTCCTGAAAGGAGTTGGCGACAGGAAAATTGCATTAACTCTCCAAAGGCCCCAGGACCACTCTGGTCTCTCATCCAGATATTCTAGAACATCTCCAAAGCCCTCCTCTCACTCCATCTCTGCCTCCAAATATTGTTTTTGTTTGTTTCGCTTTTTGTTTTGTTGTTTGGGTTTTTTTTTGGTCGGTCGTGGGGCTTGAACTCTGGGCTTGGGCACTGTCCTTGCCCTCGTCAGCTCAAGGTGAGTGCTCTACCGCTCAAGCCACAGCACCACTTTTTTTTTTGGTCGGTCATGGGGCTTGAACTCTGGGCCTGGGCGCTGTCCCTCAGCTCTTCAGCTCAAGGCGAGCACTCTACCACTTGAGCTACAGTGCCACTTCCTACAGCACCACTTTTCTAGTGGTTTATTGGAGATGAGTCTCACGGACTTTCCTGCCCCAGCTGGCTTTGAACCACGATCCTCAGATCTCAGCCTCCTGAATGGCTAGGAGTACAGGCGTGAACCACCAGTGCCCAGCTTATTGTTTTTGCTTTTAGATAGATATTGCTATATGGCTGGCTTCAAATTCAAGATCATCCTGCCTCAGCCTCCTGAATGCCACACCCAGTTCTGCCTCCAACTACCAACTCCCAGTCTCCTCTCCTCCATCCCAAATGTTCAGATAGTCTCAGCTCCAGCTGCTTCTACTCTGGTGATTCTCAAACTTGACACTTCAAGCCACGTGATTATTTGGGGAACTGTTTTGTATGTTCTATGCTGTTTCTCATCATCCCTAACCTTCTGTTATCTAGTAATCTTTAGCACATGCACTCTTTATTTTATTTTTGGTTGGTTGTGGGGCTTGAACTCGGTCTGGGCGCTGTTCCTCAGCTCTTCAGATCAAGGTGAGCACTCCACCACTTGAGCTAGTTTTCAGGTGGTTAATTGGAGATAAGAGTCCCATGGACTTTCCTGCCTGGGCTGGCTTTGAACCATAATACTCAGATCTCAGCCTCCTGAGTAGCTAGAATTACAGGTGTGAGCCACGGTCGCCCACCTTCACACGCTAAACTCTAACATTGCCAAATGTTCACCAGAAGACAAAAATCATCATAATTGAGAACTACCACCCTAGCCCTCTCTTAGCTAAGGGACTGCCAAGCCTATCTTGAGCACCTGCAAAATCTGGCGCTGTTCTGGAGTGCCCCGTTGCAGACATTGAACCACCAGCCAGCTGCATTTATTGTCCTGGATATCAGTGCCAATCTTTCCTGTCACACTGGGGTCCCCAAAGGCGTCAAGGTAATCATCCTGGACAGGAAGCACAAAAGGAGGAATGAAGAAACTTGCAGGCAGGGGAGGAAGTTGCTATGGTTCTGTGCCACTGCATTGAGCCTTCCTACCTGGATCTGAAAGAATTCTCCCATCTCCAGCAGGATCTTCTTGGCATTGGCATGTTCCTTCTCTCCATCAATGCCTGCCTACAAGGCAAGGAGTAAGAAGGCAAACCCACAAATATCATCACCTTCCCAACTGCTTTCTCTATGAGACAGACTTAGGCCCATGAATTACAAAGTCCTAATCAACAGTCCAGCAGCCTCTATCCCACTTATCTTTGGCTAAACCATCCTGGAATTCCAAAGGCCCTCACTTTCCTTGTTTGTCTGATCCACTTCCAGATCTTTTTTTTTTTGCTGGTTGTAAGACTTGAACTCTGGGCCTAGGCACTTTCCCTCAGCTCTTCAGCTCAAGGCAAGCACTCTATCACTTGAGCCACAGCACCACTTCTGGTTTTCTGGTGGTTAATTGGAGATAAGAGTCTCACAGAGCTGGGGGCTAGTGGCTCATGCCTGTAATCCTAGCTACAGGAGGCTGAGATCTGAGGATCATGGTTCAAAGCCAGCCCGGGCAGGAGAGACCGTGAGACTCCTATCTCCAATAAACCACCAGAAAACTGGAAATGGCGCTGTAGCTCAAGTGGTAGAACGCTTGCTTTGAGCTGAAGAGCTGAGGGACAGCGCCCAGGCCCAGAGTTCAAGCCCCACGGCTGACAAAAAAAAGAGAGTCTCACAGAGTTTCCTGCTTGGGCTGGCTTTGAACCTCTATCCTCAGATCTCAGCCTTCTGAGTAGCTACGATTACAGGCACGAGCCACCAGTGCCTGGCTACTTCCAGATCTTTTACCACCTCAAACCTTTCAGGATGAAAGAACTCACTTGAAGAAATGAGTTGAGAGTAAACAGCCAATCCCACTGGCTGCCTTTGAACCCATGCTTTTCCCTCTCAGCCTGAATTAGCTTCTTCCCAATCCATCCCAATTCAGATGCAGGAATCACTGTTCCCTTATTAAGAACCAAGCATTTTCATTTGCCTGGCCTCAGCTAATTATACAGTCTTGTAGGGCAGGAATTTTATCCCTTCCTATAGCACAGCAGACAGACCCAGAGGGATTAAGTGTTTTGTTCAAGGTCACAAAGTCATTCAGTGGGATTGTCCAAGTGGTCTACTCTGTGTCTTCCTGTCCCAAAACCCATGTGGGTAGAGCCAGGAGAGTGCAGACGCTGACTTACCATGTACATGGCAGCCGCAACGGGCAGGTAGAAGGAGTAGAAGGCTGTCTTGTACTTGACAATAGATTTATACCTGAGTAGGAGAATATAAATGACTCAGAAGGGAAACATCCACCCTCAATCCCCTCTTACCATCCAGTTATGGTTCACACTGACCCTTACCGTTTCTCAGTGTATCTGCCAAGATCCACATGGCCCTGGGGAGCTGTAATGAGGTCCAGGGTCTGCCCAATCTCGGTCTGATAGGAACTCTAGAGAAGAGGAAGATGGATCAGGCAAGCTTTCTATAAATATGGCCAATGCTGACATGTAAGCCCCACAACATCTCAGAGCAGCTGGCAACTGAGTACAAACAAAAGCAGAAGAAAGGAAAGAAAATCTAGGCCCACAATCTTGCACAAAGCCCTTTCTCATTGCTTTGCCTAATCATATAGGGACAGAGGAGCCCGTCTTGCCATTCCTACTATCACCCTTCCCAGTCACCTTCCCTGATTTCCCTTTCCAGGAAAACCTACCAATCCTGCACCCTGAAACCAGCAGATGAGGCCAAGGGAACTGTGAGCAGCCTCTGACACTGGGCCTGAGTCTGCAGCTTACCTGCAGGAAGAGCTCAATCAGGTTCAGATAGTATGGCTGCTCCCGGCAATAGAACTTCAGCAGGCGGTAGATACATGCTTCCAGGAGCAGAGCGTCATTGACCGCATCCAAACCTATGCCCGGCTGTTAGAGGCACAATGTAAAACATGTAATCTTTCTCTGGCCTACATGCATACCAAGAACTACTATCCAAGATAGTTTAACAGGGCTGTATAACCTGTCCCCACACCCACTGCTCCCTGCCCATCCACATTACCTTCTTATACCAGCAAGTCTGCCCCCTGCGTGTAAGGGAAGAGTCCATGATGTCATCTGACACCAGGAAGAAAGCTTGAAGCTAGAAGAAAGAAAAGTAGAATAAGACCCCCAGGTCTTATGCGTTCTCTCAGAGCTGCTGTTTCTGACGGTCACTGAGGTGGAAAGGAAGGTCAGGATGGGGACACCAAGAACTTCTGTTACAGAAAATGTAGAAATGGGAAAATGTACATGACCTCTTCTATCAGGCTCCCCTCTAAAACAAATGGGACAGAATCAAGTGCTGGTAGCTCATGCCTATAATCCTACCTACTGGGGCTGGGAAGGTGGCTCAATGATAGAGCGCTTGCCTTGCATGCATGAGGCCCTGGGTTCGATTCTTCAACACCACATAAGCAAAAAAGAAAAAAGCTGGAAGTGGTGCTGTGGCTCAAGTGGCAGAGCGCTAGCCTTGAGCTGAAGAGTTAAAGGATAGCACCCAGATCCAGAGTTCAAGCCCCATGACAAAAAAAAAAAAAAAAAACGGCTAGCTGACACAGTGGCTCACAACCATAATTCTAGCAACTCAGGAGGCTGAGATCTGAGGATTGTAGTTCAAAGCCAGCTCAGGCAGCAAAGTCCATGAGACTCTTATCTCCAATAAACTACTCAGAAAAATCTGAAAGTGGTGCTGTGGCTCCAGTGATAGAGCGCTAGCTTTGAGCACAGAGAGGCTCAGGGATAGCGGCCAGGCCCTGGGGTCAAGCCCCAGGACTGACGGGGGGGGGGGGGGGGTGTGTAGAAAGCTGGGCTAGTGGTTCAAGTGGCAGAGCATAAGCTAGCCAAGTCAGGCCTTGAGTTCAAATCCCAGTATGGATTCAGGGGTGAGGAGATGGAACTAAAACACACTCATTTTCAGGTTAAATGATTAAAATAGGTTGCTCACACCTCTAATCTGCCCTAGACTATCCCTAGTATCAAGAGATTATTAAACACAATAGAATTCTGAACAACACAGGCATGTACCACCAAACTTGCTTCTTACAGTCAGGCTACATATGACTTACACAGCTTTTCAAGACATGGGTTTGGTGCTGCTGCTTGGCTGCTTCTGCAGTGCTGGGAATATAACTCAGGCCCTCATGAAAGCTAGCCAAGTACTGTACACACCCACAAATGCACCTGGCCAAGACAAGGTTTTGAAAACTACACCCTATCCTGGTCCTGTGTGCTCCAATGGGTCCATACTGCTAAGGAAACAGGTTACACTCCTCTCATCGAAGGTGTAGATATTTGACACCTCTGTTGCTATTCCATGCAAGCCCAAAGAAAGGAGGCATCTACCTATGCCTTTAAGGCTGACCTCACCCCAGGGAGCAGGGTACAGACCTGGGTTTTTCATACAAGGCAGGTTACTCACACTGTGCCTATTTGTAGTAGAAGGGCTCCCCTGAAACTCTCACTCATCGCATCACCTCTCTCAAAGGTGACGGCAATGCCAGGCATTGGTGGCTCACACCTGCAATCCTGGCTACTCTGAAGGCTGAGATCCAAGGATCGTGGTTTGAAGCCAGCTGGGCAGGAAAGTCTGTGAGACTCTTATCTCCAATTAAGCATTCAAAAAAGGGGGAGGAGCGGCTGGGAAGGTGGCTTAGTAGTACAGTGCTTGCCTCACATGCATGAGGCCCTGAGTTCAATTCCTCACATAAACAGAAAAGGCTGGAAATGGCACTGTAGCTCAAGTGGTAGAGCACTAGCCTTGAGCTGAAGAGCTCAAGGACAGCGCCCAGGCCTAGAGTTCAAGCCCCATGACCAACACCCCCCCCAAAAAAAAAAAGCCAGAATGATTCGTGAATTTATTATACATGGTTTTGACCAAGCACAATCAAATTAATAAAAGAAAAAAATCAAAACAAAGTTCACAATTTTTTTTTCTTTTTGTCAGTCCTGGGCTTGAACTCAGGGGCCTGGACACTGTCCCTCAGCTCTTCAGCTCAAAGCAAGCACTGTACCACTTGAGCCACAGCACCACTTCTGGTTTTCTGGTGGTTAACTAGAGATAAGAGTCTCATGACTAGCCGGGCACTGGTGGCTCACGCCTGTAATCCTAGCTACTCAGGAGGCTGAGATCTGAGGATCGAGGTTCAAAGCCAGCCCGGGCAGGAGAGACCGTGAG